TGTGTGTGTGTGTGTGTGTGTGTGTGTTATCTATAACGTGTGTATATAGAGAGAGAAGGTGAAGGAGAGAGAGAGGGAGTAGGCACACAGACAGACGGACAGAGAAACAGACAGACAGGCAGACAGACAGACATCCAGACAGGCAGACTAACAGTCAGAAAGACATACAGATAGGAAACGGCAGAGAGAAAGAAAGACTGAGAAAAAGACGGAAGCAGATACGGACGGATGTGATAAATTATGCAGGTTATTATTATACTTGTACATTTGTGCGATATCATTATTATGTTACAATCCAAATTTACCCTATTTCGCCTGGGAATAATGCGAATTATTATGAGGCGCAGTGAATAGGTGCTATATATTAGACTGGTACTACTATCATCAGTTATTACCAGGGCGTCGATAAATACCGCTCTTGTGTCTTTTGTCGAACCTTTGGCCGGAAAATGTTTGAGAATAATGATACAATAACCAAGTCCTATTACCTACTTAGAAAAATGTACTTCAATATTTTCCCGATATCTATCAACAGACATTCCTATCTCCATTTCTGTAAGTAGGTAAGAATGCTGTCTTACTATAAAGCCATGTTTCCAAGTGTTAAATGGCTATTTCCTAAATCTTGACGCTTCAGTTTGAGCGTTCGGAGCCAACGTTAGTAATGGGAAAATGTCTTGGAATGTCGTTTCTACTTAATACGCCCACTGTCTGTAAACGGCTCTGCTTGTAATGCCATCAAGGTTATCGTCTTTGCTCAAACCTTAGCAATTCTCCGAGGTGGAAAGAACTGATTCGTACGTTTTAGCGTTGGGATTTTGTGGGAGGGAAGTTAAGTCTTATGAGAGTTGACGCTGTAACGATTCTTGAAAATTTATCGCTTTCGCCCCGAGGGAAATCCCAGAACGAATCTTGCCCAGGGATTTGGCAAGCGCTGCAATGGTACTTCATCTCTATCGTAGTCAAGCTTTTCCTGCAATTTGTGCATAGATAGCAGTGGAGTTAATGGCCCGTGTGACTGCGGATGTGTAGAGAGAGAAAAGATAGTTGCCTATCTCACGAACTAGGGGCGCAGCTCCGCCACACATGATTTGCCACTGGTATAGAACAACGTGTCTAGTGGGGGTTTGAAGTCGTTTGTACGTATACCCAATAAATAACTTTAGTCCTGTTTTCCTTTGTTCTAATTCGTGTCAGACGATGCTCCGTGTGGTCGCCG